GTTTTAAATAAAGTGTGTCTGAGTGTAATTATTCCATTCGAATAAGGGCAGAAAAAGTCGGGGTTGGGAAAAAGATTGAAGTAATTGAAAATATCAAAACTAGACTTTTAAATTTACAAACCAAAGTATATTTAGGGTGCTTTAGTGCTTTTTTATTATAATTAAAACCCAACCCAAGGCCGATCGCATCAAACCGAACCACAACTATACCACATTAGTACCAATGATTTCATCTGGTATCTCTATATAAAACTGAAAACCAGACAAAAACCAAACCGTAAACCGGATTACCACATCTAAACAAAAGAGTGTCTATATCCAAATGTTGATAATTTGCCACAAAGTTTCAAAGCATAGAAGAACAGTATATAATTCACCACAGAAGCCAAAAAGAAGTGCCATAAAGAGTCAAAGCATCAAAGAACAATATAATCACACCAGAGAAGCCGAAGAAGTTTCCTTTATGATGCAATCGATAGGCAAACTTAAACCCGTAAAAGCCTCATCCGCATATGTGAATTCCGTGTCTCGGGCCTAGAGAAGTTCCGTTTGGCTCTAGTTCTAACTAGCGAAAAAGCCGTGGAACTGATCTTTTAGGCACTTTTCCTTCGAGCTTTAGTCTTCGATAAGACTCTCTAATATGACAAGGTCTAATAGGTCCTGATTCATTTCTGTCCCCCATAACAACTCGAGCTACAAACAAATGTTCGATCAAAAAGAAGTGAGCTCTCTACAGATTCTATGCGTTCCCTCACCGTAAAATCAAAAAAATTTCACGACAGTCTTACCTGTTTCCACGAGCTCACCAACAAACATCTTTGCAATACCACACGAAACGATAATTATTGGCATACTGGTCTTCTGACTCCCAGTGATACCCTGTAATAGCTGCATCAAGATAACAATAACATAAAGATCTAATGGTTCATAACTTCATATGTTGAAATGAAACAAAATTCGTAAAACCGAATGTGTTTCAAACGAAGAATCGTATATATACCTTCCTCATGCTTCCTTTTTGAAGTGCAGATCTCCTGAAAGATTCATATCTGCTCATTTGTTCCTCTGTGAATTGCGATAAAATCGTCCTGAAGAATTCGAACAAAACAAACAATCATTCATCTTCAAGATTTTCTTGATAAAGCTTTAAATTCGTGAAATCGAAATCAGAAAACACTCACTGCATCTTAGCCATCTTAGCAGGATCAGCACCAGTTGGGTATTTGGTTAAC